TTTCCCTGCTTCTGGAAAGAGCTGCATCTGGAGCCCTCAAGTTTCCCTCACCCCCCTGGTTCTGCGGCCCATTGCACCCTGTCCCCCCCCCCCCCCGATGGACTTCTCAGGAAGAGATTTGGGAAGAGATACCTTGGAATTCTCCATGACGCCTTCAATGCAGTCGAAGTAAGACTGGTCGCTCACCGGCTCACTGGGATTTTCCAGCATCTCCTTCACGGTCTGAAAGGAGAGACCAGCCCGCCCCAAGTTGGCCGTGCAAGGAAGACCACGGTCAGTCTTCCTGGATCACGGCTGGGCCATAAATCCCTCCCCCCAACTCCGGTCCCCTTGCTGCTCAGGCTGGACAGGAACCCACCCCTCATCCAATTGCTCAGAGGGGCTTTACTGCAAAGTAGACAAAACAAGGCAAACATCCTTCCTGGGGAAGCCCAGGAGCTGCAGCCCCACGCCTCGCACTCTCCAGCCCCACAAAACTGCCCGTTGCGGCCAAGGGCTGACCTCCAATTCCCGGAGAGCGTTGTCGCACTCCTTCTGGCCAGGCGCTTGCTGGGTGCACAGGGTGATCAGCTGGTTGATGCTCTCCGTGACTGCCCTGGGCGAGGAGGAAAGGGGAACAGGTGAAGACCCGGGAGCAGCCCTCCAGCCCATCCGCCAATCCTTGTGGAGTCGCCTTCCGGCCCTGCCATCCCAGATGCTCCTCACACTTGTGGTGCTGGCCCTTCCTCCCTCCCTCCCTCCCTCCCTCCCTTGTCCTCCCTCCTCTACTTTCAGCCCCCAAAGAGCCTGGAAGGGAGGCTGGGCTATGGACAGAATGGACTCAAAGCCATTCTGGACGGACAACAGACTAGGAGGGCTCCTGTGTAACCCCACCAAGGAAACCATGCAGTTGTGTCACCAGCCGTCCTCCAGCCATCTCCCCCATTCTCCTCTTCCCATCTGCTCAACGGAGGCCAGTCAGGAAATGAAACACCCACCAGCAGCTGCCAACTCCCTGCCCTGCTACTCCGGCACCCAGCCCAGGCCCACCACAGCCCTCACCTGGCAGCAGCCGCTAAGAGGTTCTTGGCGTTGGGAGCGCCGGGGTCCACCGACAGAGACTTGGCCGCCAGAAGCAGCTTGCTGGAAGCCATGGAGATGTTCTTGAGGTTCCCGATGACCTGGATCTGATCCTCTTTGGTCTGCGAGGCAGAGACCGGGCACCACAGGGGCTCACTGCTTGGGCCGAGAGCCGAGTCCCCCAACTCTATTCCTGGCTCCAGCAGCATCGGAGGGAGCGCTACTTGGCCAGGCGCGTGCAAGGGCCTCCAGCTGAGCAGGCAAGGCTTTGACAATCGGGCCTTCACCGGGAAATCCAGCCCGGAGGGCAGAGCCGCCCAGCCTCTATGCAGCCCCCATCTCTGCCTGGCACCGAGAGCTGACAGTCACCAGCCACAGCTGGTCCAGCGGCTGCCCTGCCCAGCAAATCCGTCCGGGGCTCGAAGGGTGCGCCAGTTAGGCTGCAGGCTCCGTCCTCGGGAGGAGGCTGAGAGAGCAAACCCAGACGGTGGGCTTCCAGCGGTTATGCTGAAGGGGGCGAGGGCAGCGTGGGGAGATGCAGGGACCCTCCTAGAGCCCTGGGGCCGGCCTGTTGGCCTGGACCCTAAGCAGGCGTTCCCACTGGGCCTCCTCTCTGCGAGGCCCAATGCTGAGGCCCCCAAGGAGGGTGATGTTCTCATGACAATGGGAATCCGGCCTGCTGATGGGCGGACGGGAGAGGAGACGGGTCCACCTCAGGGAGTGGCGATGATGCCTGAGGGGAAGAGCTGGGAGGTTTGGCAGGGGAAAAGCAATGGCACCACCCAGGGAAGGATGATTTAATTCTTCCTTTGGTGTCCCTTCCAATCTGTCCAGGGCCTCAGCACTTGATGGTTGGGCTTAGGGGTTAAACATGATTAGACAGCTAAACAGGATGGGAAAGGAGACCACTAGGAAATCCCACAACAGTAGATTAGACTCAGACAACATCCCAGAGAAAGGATAAAGCATATTGTGCCCTAGAAAGTTGCATGGATGCATAGAAACAGAGTTTGGCTGGAGGAAACCATGTTCTTTTCAAGAACTGAGGCTCCCAGAATGCACCTTTCCAGCATCAGATCTAGCAGGAGAAGCCTAGAGAAGCAATGCTTGCTTTCTGCCAAGCAGGGGGAGGAGGGGGGCACCTACCTGAGCTTGGCCGGCCATCTCAATCCCCGCGTCGAGAAACTCATCAAAGTCCTCGCTGAACTTCCCCGAGGCGGCCGCCAGCTCCCCGCTCTGGCCCCGCGTGGAGTGCACAACCTCCCCAGCCGACTGGTTCAGGTCGGCCGCCACCTGGTTGAGCTCGCTCTGCGCCTCCTGGAACGACTTGGAGCTGGGGGGCAGCTGCAAGGTGAGGGTGGGATTAGGAAGCTGCGGCTGTGCCCTGGCACACCACCAAGCACACGGGCCCTGCCCTGCCGCTTGCCTTCCACAACGCCACAAACGGCGGGGGTGGGGGAGGAAGCATAGATGGTACTAACCAGGGGAAGAATTTGTGGGGTCTGCAAACACTCCGGCCTCATTCTGGCCAATGCAAGGACCAGAAGCCCATCACCACCTTTTATTCCATCATTGTTTGGTACTTCAGGGGATACCGCCGCCCGCACTGACACACCCGAGGCCAAGGGGCTTGCAGGAGGCCTCCTCAGAAGCAGGGGCCACGGGGGAAGCGGCTCACCGTTTCCACCAGCAGCTTCTTGCTGGATTCACCAATGCTCTTCAGGGCCACGTCCACGTCCTTCTGGCCAGGGAGGCAGTTGACGCAGTTGTTCAGTGAATGTGACACGGCTTTCGCCACCTTTCCGAGACATACAGCCAAGGGGGGGAGGAGAGGAATCAAAGGAATGCAAACAGCCCCAAGACCCCCAACCCACCTTCTTGAGGCTCTGACAGCTGCCTGTTGGGGAATAAACCCCTTTGATGGATCAGACCCCGAGGCCGCTGGGCTACTGGAGGGACCCAGGCTCTCTGAAGCCCAGGACAGCCAGGGAGCAGACTCACAAGCAAGGAAGTTGAGTAAATCTGGTTCCAGGGGTAAACAATGTGGTTTCAGATGGAAGGAGAATTCCAGGGATTCAGGGGTGGGGGGTCTTGCATGGGGGGGGGGAGAATAAAAAGCTCAAGATGGCAGCCAAACACACACAAATGTGGGAGGAGCTTCAATGGCTCCATTCTGGCTTGACCATTTAGACCACAACCTGCAGACACTCCTGGAGTCAGGGAGAATTTTAGGCCAGGGAGGCAGATGGGGGGGAGGGTGCCGAGCAGCAGCCGGACCAAGCAGCCAGAGCCACACGACCCCCTTTGCCAGGTTCTGACATGGGCGGCAGTTGGGGCAGGGCGAGCGGCAGCCCCCTCCTCTCCTGGGGGCCTCCTGTCCGGGGCTCCGGCTGCCCACCCACCTGGGCTAGCCTCTGCTGACTCTCTGCATCCCCTGGAGACACCAGGGCCTGCTTGGCCTCCTGGATGAGCAGAGCGGAGCCCTCCATCACGTCCCACGCCGAGTCCAGCATTGCCCGGGCCCCGGCTGGGTCGCCCGTGGATGCGGCCACGCCCCGCGCAGCTTGTGCCAAAGTCTTCAGTGCCTGGGCTGTTTCCCGGGCAGCCACCCCTGGGGGGAAGAAAGCCGGGAAGTCCGGTTAGCAGCCTCCAGGCTGGCACTGTCCGTCCCAAGGAGAACACGAGAAGGCCGGATCCGGCTGAGGCCCGGCTGAACCCAGGGTTTGGTTTCGCCCAGTGGCCAATGGGCATCTCGGGGCTGCCAGCAGGAGATGCAGCCGTTCATTTCTGTGGAGAGATTTGAGGGGAGGCTGTCCTGGACCCCAAATCGGTGAGTCTCTCTCCCCTGCTTACCAAGCCCATGCAGCATTCATCTTTAGGAATAGTTTGCAAACTTCTACAGATTGTTCTCAACAATAATACTGGTTTGTCTCTGCAAGTCTGCGGTTCCTTGCGTGGGTCAAAAACGTGAGGTGAGATGACCGGGCGAGGCAGTGACCGCCCCTTGGCCACCCCGGGGGGGAGGGGGAGGGAGGCTGCCAGAGCAAGGAGCCTTTGTACCTGTATAGTCTTCATTGCCTTGGGCGGCACAGGTGAGCAGCTGCGCCATGGAGGAGCCGACAGCTTTGGAGGTGCTTCCCAAGTCCTGGGCGCATTTTTCGAGCTGAGGGAGATAAACAGCCTTGTGATTAACCTTCCCAGTGACCTTCCCAGCTGTGGCAAGGGCCCACTGTGGCCCCCTCGGAGACTGGCACAATTTCCTTCCTACAAGAGGGGTACTGGTGGTGGGGGTGGCCCCCCAATATTTCAACTCTCCCCCAGAAAGGGGCATCTTCTCCACATATCTCTCTCTTCAATCACGGCTTTTATGAACTGCCGGCAGGACTCGGACATTAAAAGGCAACATCTGAAGTGGAATGAATGCTAATTCTTTGCATCTTTCCTCTTGAGTTAAATTTTGTTGTTTGAATGGAGCTGGTTTTCCAGAACTTACTCCATTGTGGTTTACTCTCTTAAAACAAAACTTGTAAATCCTCTTGGTTAAAATGGCCATAAAACTGAAAAAAAGTACACTTCTCAGTGTGCCCAGGACATCTGAGAGGAGCGGAACTCTTTGGGCCTGTATGTGCCATAAGCCGATAGAAGCAGCCACCCTTATGAACTACCCAAAGGGAAGGAACTGAACATATATTTAAATGCAACCCCCCCCCCCAATTTTTTTTTAGTTTGGTTAGTATATATATATTTTAAAAAAAGCAATATAAGCCTTGTCTGATATTCTCCATTTACCGTTTCTCCCGGAAGAGGCTTCAACTGTCCGTCCAGGGCTGCCATCTTTGCATCCTGCAATTCGTTTTTGAGCGTCTGGACAGTGTTCAAGGCCGAGTCGATCTCCATGGGGCCACAGGCCTCGTGTGCCTAAGCGCAAGACAGATGAACAAGCACATCCTCACAAGTCTCTCACCACAACACAAAGCTCCTCCAATGGAGGGGGCTGATGGGGAAGGAATCTTGGGGGGGGCTCTTGCCACTCCACAAGACTCGGAAGGGGGGGCGCTGGGCTTCTGCCCACCTTCTGAGAGGCTGTCCTCAGCTCCGCCAGGCTGGTGGCCAGATTCTTGGCACACTGGCTCAACTGCATGGCTGCCGCCTGGTCAGTCACGGTTGGCACGGCTGCTTTGGCTGAAGCCACCATTTTGCTCCCTGGCTGTTGAAAGAAAGACCAGCCCGTTGGCCTCGGCGGCCCTTCCGTCTGGCAGAGCGAGGCCCCTCCCCTCCCCATCCCACGCCCTCCCTCCAACTCACGTACCTGGAGGAAATTTTGGCTGGAGTTGATCAAGGCGAGTTGGGCGCCCAGGTCCTCCGCCTGCGCTTGGCTCCCTCGCACGCCTTGCACCAGCTGCGGAATGTGGTCAGCCACGTTCTACCCAGAGGAGAAGGAGGGAAGGCAGGCGGCTTGGCTCTCCAACTGGGCAGCTCGAGGCCAAGCCCAACTGGACAGCCCTTCCTATCCCTGAGTGGACAATGCAGAGCTGACAGAACATGGGAGGACTTGCTTGATGTGCTGGAAACCGGGACTGTGTTAAGTCCAGCCAGGTCAGGATTCAGTGGCTGGTCATTTAATTCCAGTCTGGAGGTTGCCGCTTTGCCTCCACCCAGTCAAACAGAGTGCTGAAGGAACGCAGCTCACCCGGAATGGATTTCGGGACTGGAGCAGCTTCCAACCCACAAAGACCCGGCTGTCCAGGAGGCCTCTGGGCTTTCAGCTTGGGATTATTTATAGAGCATTTTCTCAGGATTCATGAAGCCAAGTCTTGTTATGGACGTGCTAGAGGCATGAGGAGGCTCCTCTCCACTCTTTTGACTTCTTCCCAGTTCGAGCGACCTTACCTTGCAGCTCTGGACAAGCTGCTGGTGGGCTGCTGCGTTCTTGTTTGAAATGGCGGCGTTCTGCGAGGCTGCGATGGTTTGCGTGGCAGCTGCGGCTGCCTGTTTTGCTGCCACCTGCAAGAAGGAGGGTCTGGAAAGTCTTGGAGGGGCAAGGGAGAAGGGGCGGATCTGGCCAGCAGACGAGAACTGGTGGGGTGGGGATTTCTTACACTCCGTTTTCCCAAAGCTTCTATCCATTAACCTCTAAAACTGCCCTCCCCAACCAGATGCCCTCCAGATGTGCTGAGGCTGTGACTCCCTTTGGCTCTGCTGGCTGGAAATGCCAGGAAGGGCAACCCTGGCACAGCTGGAGGGAGGCAGACCAAAAGGGGAAAGCAGGAACCTCTTCATTCCCCTGCAGGACCCGCTCAGGAGCATCTTCCCAGCCTAAGAGGAACCCAAGGGGCTGGCTTGGACCCGGAGAATATGGATTCACCAGTGAACCTGGAGCTCCTCCTTCTCCTGGAGAGAAGCACCAGGTGGGGAGACTTTGGAAGAACTGCCAAGAAGGGAAGGTTGAAACCCTGAAAAGCGAGAACGTTTCCTTTCTCTTTATGAACACACACAGTCATTCTGGACATTGGCTCTCACGGAAGCCCACTCCTCTGCTTGCCTTTTGCAGGCTGGTTTCAGGCTGACACGCAGCCTCTGTGCAAGGTGGGCCCCAAGTCCAGGGCTGACCGGCCCGGCAAGACAGGCATTCTCTTCCCCAGCTGCATATCGGTACCGATCCAGTAGAAGGGGGAGGAAGCAGCTGTCCGAAAGGTTTGGCCTGGCTCAGGCTGGCAATAACTCAGCCAAGGAGGAAGAGGAGACCCGCCAACGGTCTCACCTCCAGTCGGTTCACAATCTTCTTCTTAATGGCGTTCTGGGCAGCTGCGTTGGTGGCCACCCGGAGCCCTTCGGCCGCTTCCCGCAGCCGCTGCTGCTGGTCTTCATTGTCTGGGTTGGCAGCAGCTCCCTATGGGGGGCAAATCACAAAGACGAAAGTTGGAGGGCTCAGGCCCATCTCAGCCTTCATGTTACGGGGCAGCCGCCTTTCCCCCAGGACTGACTTCACCTTGTCGCCCTGCCCCCCCCCCAAAAAAAGTAAGCACCAGCAGTGAACCTTTCTCGACAGCCACACGGTTGCACGTGGGGTTTTGTGGTACCTTTGCAGCTTCTACCATCCGGGCGGTGGAATCAGCAAGAAGCTTGGCAGCTGCCAGGAGCTTCTTCGAGTTTTCCATGTCAATTTCTGCCTCAGCATCCGACCGCATGGCGTTCACCAGGTCTGAAGTTGCTTGCGCCAACACCCTGGCCTGCCGCACCATTTCCCCTGCAACCGGATTGAAAGTGGGCTTTCTTTTCATCTCTCCGGGCCCATCTCCGACCCTCTCCCGGGCTCTGATGATCCCCAAGCTTCACCAAGCCCTCTCGTGGGCTGGCCTGGAGAGAAATTCCCCTTGCAGAACGTGCTAGAGAAACGAGTGCCTCTATTTCCGAGGCCAGGACAGAGGCCTTTCTTTGCCTGCAGGAGGCACCAGGCTCGATTTCTGGCTCTACCAGTTGAGGAAGGGACGGATCTGGTAGCCAATGTAGCTGGAGGACAGAGAGGCTGACTGGGCAGATGTACTCCTTCCGGATAGGGTGGGAGAGGGTGTCAAAAGATGTCAAGATGATAGCCACCAGGGCAGATCAAAAGGGGAGGGTTAATTTTGTGACCGGACCTGCCATCTTGACTTTTCTGATCCCCCTCCATGAATGCTCCTCTGTACAACTCCGTCAAGCGCTCTCAGAGCCACCATGCACAGCAGGAGCAGAGCAAGGGGACAGCTGAGCAAGAGAAGGAGAGCTTACCGGCGTCCCCCATGGAACTGAAGATGCTCTCGGTCACATACATGATGGTGTCGGTGGCCTGATCGTAGCGTCCAATGGGCTCCCCCCGGCTGGCAAACTGGCGGACATGCTGCAGGAGGTCATTCAGGGCCTGGCTGACCACGCTGGCCGCCGCACTGACTTGCTTGAGCAGTTCGGTGTCATCCGTGGCAGCCTGGCACGCCCGCACACAGTTCTCCACGGAGCGATCCACCAGCTTCCCGGCTTCAATCAGCTGCTCCTGACACACCGGGGAGCTGATGGTGGGACTCACCACCTACAGCAAAGCACATCCAGCCACGTGAGGTGAGCGGCAGGGCGCACGGCATCTGGCCTGTGAAGGGTTATCTGACTGCCACAGCAGAGGAGGGGCTCTTTCAACCTCACAACAAACTGGCCAATGGGCCACGGCTGTTCTGATGTCCATCCAGCTCTCCACTGACGGGCAATATCACAGAAGCTAGATCTCTCTCATCCATCCTGGCTTGCCCACCTCTCCCTGGACGCACCTTTGCACAAGCCACCAGCTGCGAGGTGGAGAGGGCGCACTGTGTGGCAGCCGCAATCACCCGGTTCTGCAGAACAGTGTCCTCGGCCACCTGAGCCACGTTCTTGGCCTTTAGAACCAACATGGCGGCGGCATTGGCCACAGCTTTGGCCAGGCTCATCAAGACATCCTGGGGAAGAGGAAGGTGGGAAAGAGGGTTGAGCCATAAGAAGAGGCTCAGCTCATCTACAGGTACGGAAATCGTAAACGGGGGCAGCAGGGTTCAATCCCACAAGAATAAAGGGTCCCAGGGGAGCTTTACCTGGAAACGTTCGTCTGTCTCGTTCTCCCCGATCTGCCTGAGCAGCTCCCCGCTGGCTTGGCCAATGCTGCCAGCTGCAGTCAGAACAGTCTGGCGGGGCTGGAAAGAGAGAAAAGTAGGAAAGATGCCTTAGGAAGAGAAATTCTCAAGCTGCTGCCCTTCCACCGAAGCAAAGTCCTCCCTATGGATAGTATAGTAACAACCAGGGGGCAACTGGGCGGCCCGCTGCCATTCTGCCCTACGGCCTCACCTCTCCTGATGTCGGTTCCACCGCTTTGAGCAGGTTTGAGACGGCCCCTGCCAGGGTCCGAGCGGCCTTCAGCAGGTCCTCCCCACTTCCGACTTCATCGTCCATGAGAGCCGCCAGCAACTTGACCCCCTTGGACATCTCCGTGAGGTTGGAGGAGATGGTGGTGATGGCACAGCCCACCGCTGTGTAGTCTGTGTCAACCGGGTCCCCTGCCAAGCAAAGCAGACCAAGAGATGACCAACTTCCAAAGGTGTTGCAGAGGCTTACACTTTCTTATACCGCTAGGGCCTGGTCTTTGCGGGCCTGGTTGTTGTTGCTGTTTAATGTTTCAGAGGATCTTCTGCTTTGGCCCAGAGCAGGGTTCTTTGCAAGCCACGGGGATATTCCCAAATGCACCACTGAAATGGGAATGCTGACCAAGGCAAACTGAACAGGTGTTTCCTTTAGAACTTTGGAAAGATACATTCTACACTCATAGGACCACTACAGAGCACACAGCCTCCTTACCTGCTGTAAGGTTCACAACAGAAGCTGTCCCTGCAGTGATTGCATCAACTTGAGAGTGTATTTCATGTTTTGACTCGTCCACTTTGTTCTGGACCCAAACTCTGGAAGCCTGGAGAAAAAGGCAGATGCCGAATTAAAAGAATATAGGACATCTTCTAACTTCTAGGTTTGCTAATCCTCAGAAACCTTCTCCAACTTGGTGACCATCAGACAGATGGGCACCTGCTAGGATTCTTAGCAATTACCAAGTGAGTGAAGGATTCTGGGGATTGAGTTCCATACATCTGGAGAGCACTCAGCTTAGGAAGGACTTCATTAGACAGGACTGCTTGATTGCCCACTCTATTTGCTAAGAAACATCCCTGGAATACTCAATATTCAGGGGTCCCCAAAAGGATGGATCTGAGCCCTCAAACAAAGGCAATTATTTTACACAGTTCCCCTGTGTCAGGCTTGCTCTTCCTGGGGGAAAGAAGTGCTATCAGACCTTGAAAGGGCCGATTCACACATGGATAACCAAGGACTTTCCTACAGGAGACACAGAAAATGACCAAGATGGGGCTGTTTAGCTCAAAGGCACGAAAGCATTTTGAAGCACAGAAGGGCTGCTGAGAGAGGCTGAATGTGGAGAAGGAACAGACATCCCAGGCCAGTGTTGGTTTTGGGGAGATGGTCTTCCCTTTGCCCCCCAGGCCAACTGACCATGTCATTTCCTAAAGGCGGAAGATCATCGACTTGGGTGAGGTCTGCCTGCGTCTGCTGGACGGCCTGCATGCTGGTGTTGATGGTGCCCATCAGGGCCTGTTGGGCCGAAGTCTGAGGAAAGCCAAGCAAAGTTCAGCAGATCTTCTCCTGCAGAGGGACCACTCAGCAGGACTCTGTGACCAGGACCCCACCCTTGCTCAGAAGGGGGGGAGTGGCTTACCAGAGGGGGCATGTGGGCCCTGTGCATCTGCCCAACCGTCACTTGCTGCTGCGGTGAAGGCATGCTGCCCACGTTGAAGATCTCTGGGCCGGTGGAGCCCGAGCGCATGACGGCTGGAAGCGCCACGGAGCCATGCTCCACCTTTCCAGTGCGGTTGAACTGCTGCTGCAATATTGTCGACCTGCCAAAGGAAGGGAAAAACCAGGCTGGGAAGAGAGTTCCTTGCCCTCCTTGATCCTTCCACGACTGGGCTGGTCCACCAGCTCCAATTCCCCAAACACCCACTCTTCCACCCCCTAAATGTCTGATGAGCTGCTCCTGGCCCCGTAAAAGCTTGCACCCTCTTATGGACTTCATATTTGACACACCCCAATAAGATGGCCAGCATTTGAGAGATGCAAACCGCAAAATGGAAGGAAGGCCTTGGAGATGGGAAGAAGAGCAGCTTTCATGAAAAGGAGGTGAGACTTGGAATAAAGGAGCATGACAGATCATGGGCCCTGCCACAAAGACCTGCCAGAAAAAAACCAGCCCTCTTCCACCTACTTTTTGGGAGAGACAGATTCTTCTAGCATAGTCGATTCTTCATCTCCTTCCAGCCCAAAGCGATCCTTGCTTTGCTTCTGCAGAAAAGGCAAACACAGGTTTTCAGTCCCTTCCTGTGTCTTGTGAAACCATCTTCCTTTTTGCAAACGGGTCTGAACACGCAGCCCACTCTGGAATCCACTTGGGGCTCTAACCCCAGGCCCTTTGGCTTGCCAGAGAGGCTTCTGGGCAGTTGCCCCAAGGCCTAGATCACGGTAGGGGCAATTCCCTATCACCAGTGCCTATGATGCCCTGCCCACCAAACACTGGCCAGGGCGGAGGCATGAGACTGCAAAGTGTCCTGGGAATGAAAATAGATTAATTCTCACCTCCTCGCATGACCTACATACATGGAATGGAATGGCAGCAACAGGGGAAGAGAAGCACCAGAGGCCCCTCTCACCCCCAACCCAATTCCCCCCTGTCCCCCCCACTTGGCAGTTTGGGGGCAGGTGGCTGGGATGGCTGCCTGGATGCAGAGTAGGCTGTGGCTCTTCCTTCATGTTCAAGGTGACCGGAGGAGCACCTGGGCCCTTCCAACAGAAGTCGAAGGTGTCTACCTTCTTGAGGATGATGTCAATGTAACCAGCGATCAGCTGAGAGATCTGCTCTCCTTCAGTGGTCTGTACTGAGTAGTAGCTTTCTTGGTACTCCCCAAAATCCTAAGGGAAGATACAGCACTGTTTGCATCAAGATTACACCCAGTTTTCCACCGGGAAACATTTCTTCTGCTTCTCTCTCACCACCACGAATTACCAGGGTGAAGCTTTTGGGTGAGGCCGCCCAGCGTTTCACCGTGGTCAGAGGCCACTCCTGCAAGACTTCCTTGGTCTTTTCATCCACACGCATCACAGACTCCTTGGTAATTCCTAGCAAACGGGGGACCAGTTTGTTCTTTCCTTTCATTTTCTCCTGTGAAGGGAAAAAAACCGAAACAAAATTTGAAAGAACGTAAGAAGACTCCTGAGGAAGGATCCAGCTGGAGGCCCATCTAGTGCAGCTTTGGTGTTCCTCAGAAGCCAAGCAGATGGATCCAAGAAGCTCATCAAGAGGGCGGTCGCACAATTCCACCCAACAGGAGGTAGGAAGCAGTCCTGCAGTGCAGCAGCAAATCCAACCCAGGTCCTTTGTGGCTGAATCTCCTCTTACCACTCTCAAAAAACTAAATCTATTTTTGCATCTGAGAGCAGCAAATTCTACGGTTTAATATGTGCCAAGAAGCCCTTCCTTCTCTTGGTCCTGAATCTCCTTGCCTCGAGGGCCAGTCAAGGCTGCCCATATCCCAACCACCTTTCCTACCTCACCCATGACCCCCTGGACCCCCGTCCTCTTTCCCCTCCCCCAAAGCAAAGCCTTTCCTCCATGACCCACTGCCCAAGTCCGGAGTTCATTGGTGTGCCCTTTTGGGCATACTCCACTTTGGCTCACAGCTCCAGAAAAGGGGCTCCTGGTGTAATTCTAGCTCATGTTTTAATGTTAAAATAAGTTAACTGAGATAATGGACACTGATCTTTATTTGCCTCAGGTCTCCTTAGAACGTGAACGGTCCAGCAACTAAATTTTGAGGAATTGCAAACGGTTGGCCTTCAATAAAGGACTGCAAAAAGAGAAAGTCATGTCTGCTATTATAATGTATCCCCATTCCCCAAGTTACAATAATTCATTCAAAGCAGAGGGGATTAAATGTTTGGAGCATTCGTTAAACAGCTCCGGTTTTTAAATTCTCTGCCTTCCTCTCCTCATAAATTGATCACAGCCAGACATCTCACACTGCTGTTCCAGAAATGACTTAATTGCCATTTGCTTCAGTCAGCCCTAAAAAATGGAAAGAGTTCAAGGAATGCAATATGCGTTTTTAATTGAATGCACCCCAGCTTATCACTGCAGTAAAAATAATTATCCGAATTGTTGTGTTGGAAATCACCTGTTAGGAGAATATCGAAGGAATCTGAGTGTGAGAAAAAACACGGCTTAATTGTGTTGCAGCATTCTGGGAAAAATAACTGGTGTACTAATCGCTCCTTTGCAGGGTGGTTAATTCACCTGAAGGGAACACGGAAAGGAAATGGCTAATCACAAAGCGCCACTCCGCTAGCAAAGGGCACCTTCTCAATCAGGAGAAGGAAGATCTCCCGTAAGCGTGAAGTGTGAATGGTTCGGCCAATGCAGAACTTCGCAGAACTTGATTTTTCAGGGGGGGTCCAAGAACAGCAACTAGGAATTATCAGCCAAGTTCACACTACAAATTCAAATTTGGCTCAGTTCAATATCAAAAGGTAAAGAGGGGTGTGTTTCCTTCGCTCTCATTTAGTTTTATGATGAGGTGCCAAAAAGTCAATCAGGCTTGGCGAAGTTGTGATTTCTCTAAGTCAGAGGTGGGCAACTCCGGCAACTTTAGCACCTGCGGACTTCAACTCCCAGAATTCCTGAGCCAGCATGGTTGCCAACCCCTGCTCTAAATCTGCTCAGTGTTTGGATTAGGAAACTCAGACTTAGCTTTATGATAATGCCACTTCGCTTCCTGCATCTGGCTACATGATGGCAAACCCAGTCAAATTATTCATATGTTCTTGGCATCAAAATATTATGGGGTTAAAAAAAAGATACCAGTCCAGACCAGGAAGGGATGTTGGCCAAGACCAGGTGAGCAAAGGAAAGTCTTTCAGTTCTTCCCTCAACATTAAACCCTTTGAGTTGAAAAAGGTGCAAACTCTTTAGCCGGGTCTTATGAAACATATTCTTCACCGTTGCAAGCATCAGCCATTGAATCTAACTGAGTACATTTAATTCAAGTCCAATTCCTACCTTCACCAGGAAAAAGGAGACTCCATAGGTCCTCAGAGACCGGGCCAACTTAACGTACTTCACTTTTGCCTCTATTTCAGTCATCTCTCCACAATCCTTGTGTTCCTGTGGTGAAGAGGACTATTTTTGACAAGCTGACACCTCCTAGGAGAATGCTTCAACCATTGTGGAACAGGCAGACTTTCAAGGTGCTGCTAGAGAGAGTAACCTCTGAACTTTTTACTTTATTTGCTTATCAAGATCCATAAGCTAACATGTCTCAACAGACCAGCCCCAGCTGGGCAAGGATATGAGCTGAAATTGGCCATCTTCTCACTTTCTGATCTTCCTTTCTCAGCCATGCCTCATTCTCTACCATCAGCCCTTCCTTGCTCAACCTGGCATCTGAGAGTCAGGTGTGTGTGTGTGTGTTTTGTTTTCATTTCTGTAGCTCATGTCAGCTTTCATTAACCTCTGAGGTTCCAGTGATATTTCAAGGATGTGAGATTTACACAAGCAAAGGTATTTCCTCAGCCCTTGGAAGACAGGCGTCATCTTGCCTCCAAAGGCCTTTTGAAAGAGTTTTGCATCAAGTTTTTGATGCTTGGCATCTTCCAGGATATATCTTATATAGATGGCCAATGTCTGTACTATCCAGAGCAGAAAATGGGACTTTTTTTCAAGCTGACCTGGATGTTCATAGCACCACTTTATACTTCCCACTTCAGGCCAATCATAAATGTTGGTTTCAGTGCAAGGGGATGCTCACCTTGTGTTTAGATCGAACCAGATTAGGCAGTTGATTGCAACTTGGAGGAGAGGCTGCTCCCTATGCCAACTAATTAGCAGACCAGATGTCAAAAGTCTGCTTGCCATCTGGAACCTTTCCTCCCTAAACAGTGAATCTTATAACCCTTAATAACAAATAGTGAAGCCCAGAGTAAAGTTATTTGTATATTTTCAACAGATCTGAGGCTGGCATCTTAATCTCTCCTGCTCTGTTCTGTTTGATAGGAATTGTTAAAGTGACCTTAATTAGTATTTTGTTTTTTGAGAACCAAGGCACAAATCAGAAAGGACCTGAAACACATACAGTAAATGGCTTGAAAAAATAGCCCTTAATTTGCTATAATAGGAATATAATTGTAATTCCCAAACTCGAAAGAGTTCCTATCGGCGTCAGCCTTTGCCAGGCCTACGCCCTCCAGATGCTGCCTGGGTGTTGTGGGAAGGGAGTCTGAAAACATCTGGGACACATCACCCTGGGGAAGGCGGCAGTGGCAGATCCTGACCAAGCAGATGAAGTCCCATGCTTTTCATCAGCTGTTTCCCAACCAGATGTATCAATCCGTAACGTCCAGGGTCCCCACTGTTCACACTGACTGAGAATGGTGGGAATTCTAGCTCCAAACATCTGGAGGGCATTTGATGAGAAAAGCTGCATTGGATGCAGCTAGTCAAAACAAGACCTCTCAGCAGAACAAGGATTTCTAGCCCTTTTAGTGCCTTTCGCATCCTATCTCACGATGCACAGAATGAGCAGAACCCCAAGCCCCTGAACCCTATAATCAATTCCACCTCAGCAAGCTCCTTCTTCTCCTTGGGAAGGACGCCCTCCTTTGCTTTCTACACTGCAGTCAAAAGCTATTGAACAGGCTCCTTTCTTGAAGAGAACACCCTGAAAAGCAAACCAGGCTCCCAACCAGACACAAAATCATAATTTAGGGTAGGAAGTTTGCCAAAGGCAGCAAAAGAGAGGAAGAACACCTGCTTCCTTTACACTTGACAGAATGCCACAAAGCCAATGTGGGGCTGCACAAAACATACACACACGAAAAGGAACATTAAGATGCATATTGTACCAGGCTTGGGGAAGAAGATTCCCTCTTTAATTACCTGGAATATTCTCTTTTCAGCTCCTCTTTGCTTGATATATTCTTTGGGGAGAAATTCTTTCAGACTGTAGGAACAAGAAGTCACAATTAATGAAGGGGCTGTCTCTTAATTGGAAAGCGTTCAGCTGTAGTCAGGCTGGCTGGGGCCTTCTGGGAATTGAAGTCCACACGTCTTCCAGTTGCCAAGGTTGAAAAATGGCAGCTTAGAGTTTGTGTGCAGCTGGCCAGTTGTGGTTATTCCATAAACCATTATTAACATGCCTTGATGAGCCCCCCTCAACTGTCCATCTGCAGGAATTCTCTCTCCTTAAAGGAAGCATCCTTAAAGAGCAAATGGTGGGTACGAGGCCCCGGAACTCACCCCCAATCAAGCCTTCTGGATCTGAACTTTGGGCAGAGAGCAACTTGGCTGTTCCGGAGACAGATGCAAACCTTCGGTTATGATTAAACCGCATTATTTAAATTCCATGGAGCTGCTTTAGCAAAATCCAGTGTATATCACCCTCATCATTCTGGCTGCCTCTCAGCATTCCAACATCCGCACATCAGGAATCTCCAAAGGGGTTCCCTGCCCCTTCCCTGAGGCTGGCGTGGCACTGCCTTGCCAGCTAAGGTGGCCTTGCATTTCCAAGGGTGGTGAGCCTTGGCAAAGAGGCCCCACTCCGTCCTTCCGTGCTTTGAGGAAAGAGTTGGGCGTGAGAACCAGACTGCAAGAGGCCTAGGGATAGCAGATGTTGCCCTGGCCTTCTTAGCAAGAAATGCTGGAATTGCTTTAGCCCAGGGGTCTTTGGAGACCCCTGGGCTAAAGCAATTGTGCAGGCAGCTGCCCAGCTCCGTTTAGCCCCAATGGGAAGAGTCTCACTTACTCTAAGAATCCAGGTTTGTGTTTGTGCTCTACGTGAGGCCCAAACTGGATCTGTGCCTGAAAACCACCAAATTCACAGGCCTTCTCGAAGGACACTGGGTGGGAGCCATTCAGAATGTCATCACGGGCCTAGAAAGCAAGCGGGGAAAGAGTCCGTAGCAGACCCAAAGATCTCAGCTCCTCCTTTGCCAATCCCCACGTTTTCCAAGAAACTCGGCACTTCCCTTCCTTACAAAGGAAGTGAGAGGCAGCACCTTCCTGACATCAAGTGCTAATTCAAAGCAGCATCAGTGGGAATAAAAAGCCTCAACATCATGGACCTACTAATAAATGGGGCTACAATACTTAATTCCAGTTTCCAAGATTCTGCAAACTAAGCCTTTTTCCTTTCAATAAATCTAGTTAGTCTAACTCTGCAAGAGTCTCGTTTTGGGGTTGTGACCCACTGTTCAAGGTTCACACCCTCAGGTCACGGTTTAACATTATGTGCGAATACGTGGCTTGCTAAACCAACCAGGGCCAAATTACCTTTGACCTAGCCTGATGGGCACCTCAGCTGCGCCTTAGCAAGAGTCTTAGCAAGTTTACTTTAGCTGCTGTCTTAGCAAGAGGGTCACCTGTCCCACCCAGCACACCTGGACATAGAGCAGGTTGAGCTGGACGGGGTCTCTGGAATCCACGTTCTGGTCAGAGTAGAAGAACTTGCGCCTCAGAAGCAGCGTCTCGCTCTCGTCCACCCCTTGTTCCCGAAACGTTCGGCTGTGATCCAACCAGTTCACTGGGGGCAAAAGGAGAAGCGAGAGTCCACAGGCAGATCATGTCACAGTCGCTCTTCCCTCCCTCCCTCCAATTCAGGGGTCTCCAAACTTGGCAACTTTAAGATCTGTGGACTTCAACTCCCGGAATTCCCCAGCCAGCCAAGTTTGGAGACCCCTGCTCTAATTCCTGAGGGAATTTCCAGTGGTGAAACGTCTCCCGAGGCAAAATCAATCCTCTTCAAGCCAAAAAGGAATCCCCCAAAGCAAGACACTCAGGTTGCCCTAACTATGGTTTAAGCAAACTGTCTGAACTCAGCTAGTTTTCCTCTCCATGAGACGACTATCGACAATTATTGAAAATACGACATCATCAGCGGACATGTTGCAACCTTCATTAAGTGCAATAATCCTCTGTTACCACAGATGTTGCCAGCAAAACCAAGAGAAACAGGAGAAGACCTTGTTCCAACATCACAGCTTCATTATAATTCAGCTTAGCCTCCTTCAGGTCACTGGACTGGAGCTCCCATGATTCCCTACGGGCTTGGCTACTGGTCACTATGGGAGTTGGGCAACACCAAGTTAGGAAGGAGAAAATGCAGAGCAAGGCTAAAAAATGTCTTCTGAAAGCTGGTGAAGGAACCATGAGAATGAACTGTGGTTCATTCTGGAGAGCCCTCTTTTCTTTTCTTTTTTCATTTTAACTCCTAGATTTAGAGTGTGGGCATTTCAAGATATCTGCATCCACCTTAGATTACGTGCCAATCTAAGATGTTCCTACTTGACCAGTGTGACTAAGAATTCGCTCCCATTTTCAAGGCGATCACGTACGGGTTTTCTATCCCTGGAAAAGAGACTCTCTCGGAGGGAGCAACTCACAGTCATCATCAGTGTGCAGCTTGGCTTTTAATTTCTCCATCTTTTTCTCATCCCGTAGCAGCGTTCGATCCTTTTTCAGGGTCCCTGTGCCCTCTTCCTTCTTTTCCTCACTGCCTTCTTGGATTAAGGAGTACTCTTCATAATTGGTTATGCCTAAAAGTGCAAAGAAAGTCATCATTCTGAGCTGCAAAAACTGGCATGAATGGGGAGAATGGGGAAAAGTCTGTTGGTCAGAACAACCCCATTAACTTGGGTGGGAATCATTTTCAGTTCCCTCTGAAGCCTAAAGAAAGAGCAACTTTTGTGAACTGTTCCCTGCTACTAACTACCAGGGTGGATGTTGGCCTTTCCGGAACTTTAAGTAAACCTATCTTGTTCATCCCATCCAGCGAACAATAGAGCTGAGCATTGAGGACAAGCACAAGGACTTCAGCCCATCCAGCAGCAAAAATAGGTAAGACTTTCTTCAGGCAGAGAACTAAGAGGACAACACCTGGGCAGATTCAGGCTGGGAGCTCCAGGAAAATGGGTCGCACAAGGTCATCCTTCAGTCCTTATAGCCCACTTTCAAATCAAGGAAGACTAAGAGAGGCAGACCCTTCTCCTTCGCTCCATATCAAGGGCTAGCCACCTTCTAGATGATAACCAATCTATTGCGTTACAGGCCAATTAATGGGCAGCTGCCACCAGAGAGACACAGCAAGAGAGCAAGAGATTCCCAGCATGTTCTCAATGCATGAAAAGGCCCTTTTGGAGGCCAACTAACTACAGCCTGGCTCAAAAAACACATTTCCTGGAATGCCACTTTTGGAAGCCACGAGTGATGGTTGACTACCGCAGCCTGCCACAAAGTCTACTTCACAGACTTTATACCCTCTTGCATGTGGGGGTTGGCCACCTCAGATCATTTGCCTGGAGGGGAGATTTGATTGTTCTTCTGTATGGGGTTAATCTGCTTGGACACCCATCCTCTATCATACCTATCCGGCTGCAGATGGTCACCAGCAGTTCTCCAACGGTTTTAGAGTCATCCACCATCACCGTCTTCACGGAGCCGTCCAACATCCTGATTTTCTGAGGTCTCTGCTTCTTTTTGTATTCCAAAATATCCTAGGGAGTAAACCATCAAAATATTTCACAGGAGAGACAAACCTGGAATTTGTTGGGTTTCTTTCATTCTGACCACACCCAAGTAAAACAGAGTCAAAGATACCCTAATTAGAACTTGTACTTTCAGGGATTCTCAGGGTTGTGGATGAGATGGAGGTTGACAGGAGCCACTCCTGAACTCTTGTCAGGGAAGCTTTGTCCATGAGGTCACCAAGAGTCAAGGTGGACTCAAGCAGATTTTACCTTTATGCTGCAGAAGGCAGTTCTGTAGCAAGAATATTGGCTTATTTGAACCACAGTTCCACTAACATGCCTAATTGGTCCTGCTTGCACCCTGCAGCCAAAGGCGATCTGCATCCCCAAGAAGTGGAATGGCTCAGCTGTCCTCCTCATTCCCTGGAAGGACCCACAAGCCTTACCCCATTCCGCAGCATGTAGTAATCCAGAGTCCTGCCAGCCTCCAACCAAATGCCTTTCCGTGGATCTTCATCGGACAGAAACAAACCATAGTCAGAGGCTGTGAAAGAAGATGGAAGAGGAAAGCCATGGAGTCAGTTGAAGAAGCAGACCGTCTTTTAGATGTCTGCCTTCCAGTCAAGTAGGAAACTTTGTCAGGGCCTTTGGCTTCATTCTTTAGCCCTGGTCTTCTGCTGGCCCTTCTCGTCCCCTGCTTCCCTTGCTCTTCACCCTCAGCCCTATCTCCTTTTCTCTTCCTTTGGCTATAATTGGCTCCCTTAATTCTGTAGGGTTCCAAGTTTGGGAAGGAAGGAAGGAAGGAAGGAAGGAGGGAGGGAGGGAGGGAGGGAGGAAGGAAGGAAGGAAGGCTCAATGCTGTTTCTATAAAGGGAGGCTTGTTGCTTTTCTGCAGTTAGAGATCCTCTACAATCTGTGGCATAATGTCCTCTGAACATCCCCACCTGCCTTCTCCTTGCTTCATTAAGTTGCTATGGAGGCAATGTCTCTCTCTTGGCTGAATGAGGTTGTCTGTGGTTTGTTCATTCATCTAGCTGCCCATCTTAATAACTCGCCCACAAACAGGGCCTCTCCAGACTCACTTGCCTGTTTAGCAGCCACAGGTTGGCATTCTGAGACAGAAAAGCTCACCCCTGTCTAATCTCATAGACTGAGTAGGGTGATTTTCAAACATCCCTTCTTGTTACAGCACTGATATGCAAGCTATGGTTCAAGAGAGCCAGTGTGGGACCAGGTTTGCCCGAGACTGACCTTGCCCTGTCTGAGCTTCTGGTACCCTCTCACGGATAACCCGGCATGCATCATAGACTGCAGTGGAGGGCTCAAACTGCATCGTCTTCACCACATTGCAATGGCGGACACAGATTTTCAGCGACAAGGCAACCATCTTGCTGGATCACTCGGGGGCTTTTATCTTACCTTCAAAAGAAGCAAAGGAAAACACTGGATGAGTATCGAGAAAAGAATCACAACTACAAGACCAATTCTTCTTCCTTTGAAACTTTCCCTATCACCACCATTCCAAACTGTGGGACGTTGACTTAGAAGATGTTAAGTTTATTTGGCCATCAAGCCAGTGGAAAGCTTCCAGATCAATTTTTTCCTCATCTACTACTCAGCGTATTTTGATCTCAAAACCCAGCATGTAATTTGGGATCTTCTGCAGGGGAAGCCAATGTTCCGTCACTGAACTTCACTTCTACCATAATTGCTCTTGATATTATGGTATGGATATATCCATTCGCTGTGTCCAAAATGTCAAATTCCATGCCAAGCAGTAGCAGAGCAGGTCCAGATTACAATTAGTTGGAATACTATTGGGGGTGGGGGTGGTTATGGGTCGGTTTGCTTTCGGTCTTACTACAGGGTTCATGTGAAGGCCAACCAGCCAGGGAAGGCTCTCCAAGAAGGATTGGGCCTTCCTCCGTTTGCTTTGTGCATCTCCTCCTCCTCTATCTCAACTGTGATGGCAGAGGGAGGGGGATGGTCTAGGACTGTGGTGGCAAACCTGTGGCACTCAGAGCCCTCTCTGTGGGCACGCGCACCGTCGCCCCAGTCCTAGGCCTTCAGCTGGGTTTTATAAAACCTTTTCGCTTTAGGCCTCCGCCGCGGTGTGCAAAAAAAAAAGGTTCATTCAATCAATCAATTTCAACTTCTCGCCGGGAAAAAAAGGATCACGCAAAGTTGGAATTGATTGATTGAACTTTTTAGTCCCACCCAGTCTGCCGTTACCACTGCAGCCACGCCCACCCAATTAGCCATGCCCACCCAATGGGCCACACCCACCCAATGGGCCACACCCACCTGGCACCCGACGATACATAAGTGGGTTTTGGGTTGCAGTTTGGGCACTCGGTCTCTAAAAGGTTCGCCATCACTCGTCTAGGAGAAGCATCTTATGGTTTCTCATTCATCCCAAAACTAGTCTTGGGTCACCAGGACCCGGAAGCCTTCCTACAGCCCCAACAGGACCCCACCAGTTGGAGGTTGAGCCCAAAAAACGAGCCCAACCTTTTCATAATGTTAAAGAGAACCAAAAGCACCCCTCCCCTTTCAGGATATGACTCAGCTGGCCTATTACTTAAGCAGTTCTCTAAAAGCTGGAGTTGATTATTGTCAAGGCTGCCCTTCGCTGGTTCTCTGAGAGATCGACTTCATTCTTTCCAGCAGCTGATCCCGGGATGGGCAGCCACCACTGAGCCGAACCAAGCCTGGTCCTAGAGACACCCCGCCAAGGGAGGGAAGGAATGAGCAACTCCTGGGCTTAGCAAAACGTTCCTCTGCCCCCCCCCCAAGACAGAAGAGGTGTTAGATTGCCTCCCTGCAGAGGGAGGCACCCCCACCAGAGAAGGGATAACACTTCCAAGACTTAGCGGGGGTCCGGAAAATGCTTAAGCCTTTACATCATGCTGTTCTCCAAGAGACTGCAGCTGATGGACAAGGGAGACAGACGATGGAGGGCAGGAATGCTCAGGAAGGACGGCCGTGGCTGCCAGGCGGCATCTCCTCATGCACTGCCAAAGGTGCACCGTCTCAACAAGAGCTAAATGGGGGACACAGTTGTGCAACAGATGATAACTCTCCAGTCTCTAGAAACTTTTCATTAGCAAAAACAAAAAAGGTTTATTCCACCGGTGCCATGTCCCTTTTACTCTGCATCTTACAACTTCTCCCAAATACTATTTCCATACACTGTGTGTATTTTTTCCTGAAATATCAAGGACCCCACTGGGCAAAAGAGATGAAAAGTTACAGCTCTCATTTCTGAACTCTTGAAACACAAAAAAACGCAAAAAACCAGCAAAGAATATTATGGGAAGCTCTCAATCCCAAGTCTTTGGGGTGAGGAAGGGCCTTGCCTATCGGGTGAAAAGGGAGGGATGGCAGTTCCAGACTGTACTGTGCTTCTCACTAGATCTGAGGTCTCCAAACTTGGCAAATTAAGACTTGCGGACTTCATCTCCCAGAATTCCCAAGCAAGCGTGTGCTGGCTAGGGAATTCTGGGAGTTGAAGTCCACAAGTCTTAAAGTTCCCAAGTTTGGGAGACCCCTGCACTAGACAATAGTAAACTGGAACCTTGAACCAGCAATCTGCCAATCACACCTGAAAGACTCACGGTCCTTTCTCTGCAGTAACTCAGGAGCCTCTGCCGGGTGGAGCCCGGCCAAGCAGAGGGATGTCAATACAGATTTTGCACCGCCTCCTTTCCTTTCCCCAAAATTGGACAAGGCAAGTGCAGTTGAATCCCTCCAAAAGGGAAAGCTGTGGAATCTCTCCTTCTCCAACCACTGAAACCAATCCAAAGCTACCTCATCCCATTAAACTGAAGTCCTGCTAAAGATGAAGTTCATCCAAAAGTGACATCGAAACATCTGGAATTCTGGCACGATCCAGCTTTGTAATCAAAACAAGCCACTTCTCCATCCCAGGCCTGCCCCACTTCGCCTGCAGATTTTGTCTCTCTGCAGCCTGTTGTGTTTGGATAGAAAGTCCATCGGGAGGCAGGGAGGACCTTCTTTTCCTCTGATGAGTCAGCATTTGCACCACCCCAAAGACTGAGCAGCTCACAGACCAGCCAAGGGGGCAGAGTTGAGAGCATGTTCTGGCCTTTTATGAACTTCAACCCCCCCGCTCCCCCCCCAAACTAGAGTCGTCCTTCTGTTCCAGGTCTCTTCCCTCTGACCACAAACTCAGGTGGTTGGAACCAGACTTAGGTGGGTTGATCAAAAAAAAAAAAAAGCCTGGCAAAGTTTAAGGTAAGTAACAGAATGAAAACATCAGGACACAAAGCCGGAAGCATGGAGAATTGGAACAAAGGCTTGGGCAGAAAGTGGGTTGGTCAGCCTGAGGCCAAGTGGCAAGCACAAGCCATCTTCCTGAGCCAATGGACACCTGAAACATGAGGAGCATGTTCCCTGGGAGAGTGTGGTTAGTCACAAAACCCCACACTCTGCAAACGCTTTACTATACTCCGCATGCCTTCAAGATACCCACACCACCCAAGTTTTCCTTCTTGTTGATTGATGGGAATAATTTTAAACAGAACCACCACGGTCTGCCAATCACCGTGTTATTTTATCTCTATGAAGTCAATGTGGAGTCTATTTAATCCCCATCTGGATTGGGTGCTGGCATCCCAGGGAAGGTGATTTCAAGGGCTCCTGAGCAGGAGAGCACCTGAGGATACCTCATCACACAGGTCCTGCTCCGCTTGCCAAAAAACTGCTGCTTCTTCAGCCAATCAATTTATGACTGAATGAATCGAGTCAATTTGCATTCTGTTAAGGTTTAAGCAGATGTTGCCCCCACTGGAGCATTTAAAAATGCAAATCTATTCCTGATGTCAAACTTTCATCTGCAACAGGGCAGTGATGTCAGCTTATCTCAGAAAGTTGCCAGAAAACAGATGTCTTTGTCAAGCTCCTTGAGATCAGCTGTTGTAAGGCATCTTAATGCAAGGAAGCTGAATTAATAAGACACTATTGATCTCTGAAAGGCCAGAAGCCAAGGAGCCATAAAGCAGCTGCTTTATGGATAAAAAGGGAAAAGATCAATCAATTGTCCAGACTTTATGTCCATTTGCAAGGAAGTTCTTTTTCCAAACAGTGCAAAATACGTTGCATAGCATGTGAAAATGAAGGTTCTATGAAAATCAAGGACATCCCTGGACAAATTAGGGCAGTAATATTCTGTTGAAAGAGGCACAAAAGCTGGAGATGCAGAGATTACGAGATGTTCATAAATCTACACTCCTCACAACTTTGGACTCTCAACAGATTATATTTAAGTTTGCTAGGCCTGCCAGCTGCTTTCTTGGGCCAGACCTTTCCTTACCCATGACTCAGAACAGGATGGGCACAGGAAAGAGCCAATTACAGAATTATAGGTTGGAGGAGACCTTGAAGGTCTTCTAGTCCAACCCCCAGGCCATTGAGGAACTCCTCATATCTTTCTGGACAACTGGCTATTGGGCCCTTTCTTGAAAACCTCCAGTGATGGAGCACCTACAACTTCTCTCTGCAGAGAGCAAAATGTCTTTTGGGGAGAAAGGAAAATTTCCACTCTTGAGTTTCTTGGATTTTACCCAAAGCTAAAATGATTTCTCACCAACAGCAGATGCAACTCCAACCACCAGACTGGCCCAAACTCTTTAGCTCATAAATATGCAAAAAAGTTTAATTTTGCATGTTGTGCAGAAGAGCCTCATCTGATTTTGTCAGTGGGTGTGCAAATACAACACATCCACCTATGCACATCTCTTATTGGTAAAGATTCCAGGAGGGCAAATTTTGGAGTTAACTTTTGGGGCTCCCTTTGCACAAATCCCATTCTTTGCTAAGCATCTTCCACACCCTTTCATTAAAAAAAGAAATCATTAGAATGAGTAATAGTCTCCAAGCTGTTCTCTTTCTTGGAAGGAAATAACATACTGCCCACCTGGGACCAAATTCTATATTTTGTACCATGAGCTCAGACTTGGTGATCTTCCCCAATTTTCACAGCAACAGATTTATCTCAAAAGTTTGCTCTTAAATATTAACAACTCAGTACTTACACGTTACAGCTGAGCATCAACGCTAACACAGTTTGTATCCCACATGAGGAAACATTTGATGCATTGGGGGTGATTTGAACCCGAATCTTTGCTTCCAATCCATGCAGTGAAGAATTATGCTCAATTTTTCACCAAAGGGAAGGAGGGAATTCCAGAGGCTCCATTGGAAGATGCCCAGCATAGCTGGGAGGGGAGTGGTGGCTCAAAGGGTCACCCTAGCCTGAATTGTAAGAAAATGAACTCAAATGCAGGGCACCTCCCAGGAATTTTGGATCAGGGCTGGTCCGATTCCTTGAGTCTGCTCTCCATGAGCTGAGGCACCGCCTTGCTC